GATTATGAAGGTCACTTACTGAGTAGCCAAACTCATCAAACTATGGTAAACATTTTTTTCAGGATAACTGCGGTTTTATTTTGAGTGCTCGTCAGGATCAACTTTGGAAGATATTGTAGTTGTGCTTAAACTCTCTTTTGTTACTTTGTAAGAATTCGCCATTGTAAATTTGTTCTGTAAAGAGATGTATATATGTTTAGACCTTTATGTTAATATTAGTTATGAATAGAGTTTATATAGATTTGAAGAAAAGAAAAAAAAAAAGAGAAAAGAAAAAAAGGGGGTTTTGATTTTGATTCAATGCATGGTAGATATCTAAAATTGTTTTGTTTTGACTGTCACATCTCAGGAATATCAGTATTGTAAATTCTTGGGGTGTGACAAAGGTACAACTAAAAAATCCTACAGTGGAAAGTGTTCCGACATAGAAAAACTTACCAAATGATCATCTGACTTTGAGATGAATGGATATGAAGACAAAAAAGAATTTCAAGTAAAAAAAATAGTGTACCTTGTAACAAGTTATATTGACTGTCTATTTTTAAAATTTTCAAGTATTTCTTGATCGGCTTAATCTATACCATTTTTGAAATTTGTAATTATATAATTGAGGATGAAAAGAGATTTTGAAGCCATAATTAAGTTTTCGACACTAAAACGACATCTCTAAATAAATTGTATAACCGCACTTTACTTCTACAATATAAGGAGGCAACCTTATACAAACCTCACCCTTTAACTAAAAGACAAAAGCTAAAAAAAAAAAATAGCAGTACATCCAAATTGTTGTGTTGTATACATTAATGAAATAAAAAAATTTAAAAGGTAAAATTTAATCAAACCTTTGTATGCACAAAGAAAGCAACAAAATAGTTAAAACAAATCCAACTATTCGAAGCTCATCCCGAATTCCAAGTTGCCTAAATCTTTTTAGTTTATACGGAGTCTTAACTCTCTTGCTCGTTATAATGACACTCTATGTTTAGAGGAAAGAAGTTTTTTCTTTCATTATTTTGAGATATATGGTCATTTTAGTGGATAATGTTTTGGGGAATATGTTGCACTTTTTTTAAGGAAATATATTGGTGGAATTTTTTTTATGGAAGTTTATGTTCAATTCAAATTCTTAAGTTGCTTCCATTTTAATGTGGTTATCTTTAAACCAAGATTCAAAAAAATTAATCAATGAAGAGATAAAGTTAAAAGGAATAGTTTTTTTGAAATATTTTTTTAAAAAAATAAGAAATACAGATTTATATTACTTCCATTAAAACAACGTATTTTTTAAAATTTCTTTTAAAAACTCAGACTTCTTCAGATTTAAAAATTTAGGAGATTTTTTTTTAAAAATAATGCTTTCAAACGTAGCCTTGCTGATTAAAATCTAAATTAAAAAGACAGTGGATATCAACTGAGCCTAGAGATAAAAAAATGTTCGCCTAGTCCCGTGAGTTTTTCAAAACGAAGCTTTATTTGAAGGGTGCGGTTTCTATAAGGATGCAACCTTAAACAATCCAATTAATGTGCACCTTAAAAATTTATCATTAATATGTAATTTTGTTATAAAAAATTCTTAGTATTATCTTAAAATATATGTTCATACCTAATTAGAAAATTTAAAATTTCAAACATAGTTAAAATCAAGTCGATCTATAAATATATAAAAATCTTGAAATGGGACGGTCTACATATTATGTTGCAAGATGCACTATTTTCGAGACTTAAAAACTTTTTTTTTTTATATTCATTCATCTCAATGTCGAGATGATTGATTAGAAGGTTCTTTCAACATTAAAAAACTATTTTCGATAGATTTTTTAAGTGCATCTGTGATTCTATATTTTAAGGTTGCAACCTTATATACACTTTCCTCTTATTTACATACACTTCTCCAAGTTGAATAGGGATGCTTTCATAGCTCAGTTGGTTAGAGCACCCGTTTAGTAAGCGGGAGGTCTTGAGTTCAAACCTCAATGAAAGCAAAATTTTGTAAGGACGACGTAAAATCTTAGTCCATTTAATGTCTATTTTTCATGCTATCCTCTCCCCTCCGATATTTGTTTTTTATGCCCGTATTGTCATGTTCCTCATGGGAGCAAAATGTACCCTTATCCCCTTGGGCTTTATGCCCGTATGTTATGCTCCTCATGGGAGCAAAATGTACCCTTATCCCCTTGGGCTTTATGCCCGTATGTTATGCTCCTCATGGGAGCAAAATGTACCCTTATCCCCTTGGGCCAAGACTAATTTAGGAAAAAAAATTTACTGAAAATTAGGAGCCACCTAATATGTTTTCATTTAGCAGAAAAAAATTTTAAAATTTTCAATTTTTTAACACCTGGATCGACTGTTTTTATTCAATCTTGAGGCATTATTATTTTAAACCTATAGATAATGCAATTTAGAATTCTTTTTTGGAGCATAGCATATGGGTTGAAAAGACTATAAAATATTGTTTCCTAATAATACTCCTAAATAGGCTTTGCTGGAGGGAGTAAATGGATTGTATGCTCCTTTGGGAGCATGAATTCTTTTGGCTTTAAAGCACACCACATGGTTTTAAACCATCACAAAAAATAAATAACTATAATTTTTAATTTATATAGTATTTTTTTTATGGATGAAGTTTGTATAAGGCATCAACGTTAAACAATCAAAGTAAGGCTCACCTCAAAACTATGTGGAAAGAAGCTTTTTGGTGCTTGAAAGTCTTGCAATGATATAAAAATATGTTATTGCCCCCAATTATAAAATTTAAAGTCCAAAAAAATGGTGGAAATTGAGCAAATCTATATATAATTAATTTTTTTTGAAAATAGATAATTCAGATAATACGTTAAAAGACACTATTTT